AAAAAAAAAAAAAAAAAATCACACCAAATCTATATATGCTGCTAAAATGTTTGTTAACATTTTTAACAATCGGGATTTTTATATGCATGATGACCACATATCTCTGATTGTGGGTGCCGCGAGTATGAGCCTCGGCCTCATAGGTCATTCAGATTGCATTTTTCAAATACGGAAGAGGAAAAGTATTGATCTTTTCATGATAGGCAGTGACAGGAATTATCATATAATACAATCTCAATAAGATGGGTTGAGAAAGGACTAGTTTTAATCTCGCAAAATTCTTTCTCCCCCTCTTAATCTATGTTCGAGAGACTTCTTCTCAAGACAGACTAGCCAACCCTGTATTCAACGTGTTGTGCAATAACAATATCTAATATTTTCTCTCAGATTTCAACATTTACTTTTTGCTTTCCTTTCATTTACTCTTCCGTCGTTCCAGAAAGACTTGGCTTTAAATATGTTAATCAAGGTCTGCTCCTTACTGTAAGGTAAATACCAGTAGGTAACTCTCCAGAATTCGAAATACAATCTTTTTCTTGTCCCTTTGAGATCACCAGCTATCACTGTTTGCGTCAGATTTAGAGCAATTAAAGGATCAGATTTTCGAAAGGGGAGCTTTGCATCCATCTCTTCCAAATTTTTTTTCCTAACCTTAACAAGGTTCAAGGGAAGGTTCTGAAGCTTAGGCATTGGCAGCAAAATTTGATAGTCAGATGGAGCTGTAGTGGCCACTGGCCATGATGGTGCGAAACTAGAGTAGGGAAACCATGGGCGGATGTACAAGAGAAGTACTTGTTTGAGTTGAAACGATAGAATGAGCAGTGAAATACATCTTGAAAATTCCTCAAGGCCTAATCTAACACCATTCAAAATGGGGCTGATAAAGATAAATTCACATGTAAAGTGAACCTTTAAGTTCCTTTCTCATATTCATGTGATTTGGGGGTATATAAGGTCAGATTTTGGACTGGCATAATAAAAAATCATTGTCCCAATACATGCAGCTTAAAAGAAAACGATCATAAACAAATACAGCTACTACAAGTTTTTGCTTAAGCGTGCGTGCACACACACACATGCACATGTATGACATGAATATAGTTTTTGAACTGGGAAAGAGGTGAATTTGAATAGTTGAATCCGTCCCTCAACTTGAAAGTGGTGGGTCCAGATATAACTGTAGAGTAATGATAATCTGAAAGTTTTAAGATGGTGCTCTGATTTGTCTAATTATCCATAAAACTTTTTTGCTACAAATATCTTGTTTCTAGACTGGATTTTGTTGCTAAAGGCATAAGGCCCTGATTGGTATAATGGAATGGAATATCGTAAGAATAGAATGAATTGAAGAATGAAATGATTATGGAAATGGAATGAAATAAGTTTTGTCATTTACGTTTGGTATGCAGAAAGAATAAGACCTGAATGGAATGACATTACTAATTTTTATTATAAAAATAAATAAAAGTTTTTTTTAAAAATAATATATTTTTAATAAATTATATATAAATTATTTTTTAATAATATATAAAAATAAAATAATGTGTCCATTGCAAATGGAGCTTGAGAGTCATTGTTGACAATTCTCTTAGCATCATGCTAATAATGGACCAGATCAAAATGACTCACTTAAATTCTAGCGCTTCTTCTATTAGTGAAGTTTCTAGAAAAAAAATATATATCAAACGACGCAACCCACCTTGGGTCGCTACGGAAACAACCTCCTTGTATAATTACAAGGGTAAGGTCTGCGTACAACTGACCCCCCAGAGCCCAGACCCCAACCAGTTGGGAATATACTGGGTATGTTGTTGTTGTTGTATATAAAAATAAAATAATATATTTTTTAATAATATAAAAAATAATATATTTTTAAAAATAAATAAAAATAAAATAATATATTTTTAAATTATATATAATAAATAAAATATTCTTAAAAGTAATATATTTTTAATATATAAAAATAATATATTTTTAATACATATATAAATAAAAAGAAATATATTTTTAATAATATACATTTTTATTTTTAATCAAAATAAATAAAAGTAAATTTTCAATTTTTTTTATTTGAATTTTATTTTTTAAAGTAATATATTTTTAATAATATATAAATAAAAGTAATATATTTCAAATAATATATATTTTTAATATTTTTTAATAATATGTATTTAAAAGTAATATATTTTTAATATATAAAAATAATATATTTTTAATTATATATAAAATAAATTAATATATTGTCAAATTATATATAAATGTTTTTTTTAGTTTTATTTTTATATAAGTATTTAATATATCTATTTAAACAAGAAATAAAAGTAAGTTTTCAATATTTTTATTTGATTTTTTTTTAAAATAATTTTATTTAAAATAATTTTAATCATTATTTATAACATATATTATATATTTATTTTTTATTATTATTTGTTAATTTTATTTTTTGAAAATTGATTCCTACACATGGGAATGAGAAAACCTTCCATGAACTATGGAATGACTAATCCTATGGAGATGGGTTCCTATTGGAATGGTCATCCCTTTCCAAAAAGGAATGAGTAAGGGAATGATCATTCCATTCGCATGTCATTCTCACATACCAATCATGCCATAAGAGTTTTGCAACTCCAGCCAATCAAAGATTCTTTCTCCCCTATACCGATAAAGCAAGATGAGAAGACAGTCGAAAATATATTTCTCATGTTAGTTGTTACCTTTTTGCAACATCAGATGTTGAACATACAACGTTAATCGCTCCAATCCTTTCCGCATAGAGACCCAAATTTTTACTGTAAGACTGAGCAATCAGAAGCTCCATGCCACGTGCAGCAAACAACCTCACTGAGGATGCATCTTCATCGAGGCTCCCGCTTGCAAATCCCTATATTCACGTGCAGCAAACAACCTTTGATATACATTATTGAATTTTTTCTTCAAAATCACTGCTACTTGACCATAGAGTGAAACTAATTAGTGATGATTTTAACATAAATATTACCATACCAAACATATTCTCTAGTCTCATTACCAACAGAGAGATAACATAGCACCTGATAAGCAACATCAAAAAATGGAACGTGGCCCTTTTCCTGAATGACATCAGCAATCCCTTCCCACTGTTCTGGAGTGGGGTCAATGCCAGTTGGGTTATGCGCACAACCGTGAAGTAGCACAAATGATCCATTCGGAGCCGCCTATGACAAGAGATTCCATTCAAAATAATTACAAGGAAAATGATTAAAATGATGAAAAAATTAAAAAGAAAGACTCCCAGCCTATATAATTTCTCCTAGTTGTTGGGGTGAAGAGGAGAGTGCAGCGTGTCGTGACCTAAGGATCGGTCAGATGCATCTCAACAGAAGAAAATTGTTGCTTCTGCTGCTCTAGAACTATACTCTATGAGTATTTCTCAGTTCTCAATGTGAGCTACATTGAAAAAAGAATGTGCGAGGAAGCAAATATCAAGAAAAAAAAAAAAAAACATACAATCAACAAAATAAAGAAAGAAAACGATTAATGCATTTATAGTTTAAAAAATTAAGGACCTTATTTAAGTTTTATACTTTCTTTATATTAGAGCTTCATTTTGGTTGCCCGTTGATTTACACTAGAACCTTACTATGCTATGTCATTTTCTATTATTTTATATTTTTTACACAAAGATCTTATTATGCTATTCCATTTTGTTATATTTATGCTATTTCACTCTTTATGACGCAGTTTCATACTAGTGTGAGTATGTTCAATCAGCATCCAATTTCCATGTTGATGTGCCATAGATCAAGTAACGGGTTTATTAGAACAATTATACTTACTAAGTAATATTGAAGGCCAAATGAATAATCCACCATGTGTATCGCATGTGTTACCAACTAGTCTACGAATTGGGACTACCAGCAACAAATGGAACCACAAATTACAAGCAAGAACCTCACATTTTACATGTTCATACAACTGATGGAATCATCAAAAGATGGCCACCCATTTATCCCAGGCAGGTTCGCTAAATAACAAAGTTACAAAAAGTAAGGAAGCTTATAAAATATGAAATGTGGAAAGCACCAGTAAATCAACACATTCTAGGAGAGGTCAGCTGTGATAACATAAAAAAGTAAAAACTTATGAAAAATAAATCTAGACAATTGGAACAGAGAGCAAAGTTGAAATGAAACCTTTATGTCAGCTATCATCCCTTCAAAATCCAAGCCAACAGTTTTGGGGTCATAATATCGATACTCAGACCATGGAACTCTGGCATCATTGAAAATATTTTTGTGGTTCCCTGGACAGTTATTATTGGGGAAAGATGAGTAACATATAGAAATTATCTGCTCAAATGACTTTGAAAACAAAGTTAGAGAACATATAAACAAAGTAACAATCTCCTCCTAAATTATCAGACCGATTCTTCTTTACAAAAAAGGAGAAACTTAAATAGGAGAAACTATCAGAAAGCAATCAGTTAACTGACTGCTCAAATCTCTTATTCAGAAAGCAAATGCATCTAATTAATGCACATAGGCGTCATTAATAGCTACAACCAACGGTGAAATACCATATTCAAACAACTTCAAGAACATTTTAAAAAATACCCCATGTTGGAGATGACAATAGAACTTTGGAACCAGGGAAGTATCTCTCTATGAGGGCTGCAGCAAGCCTCAGAGACCCAGTTCCTGAAAGACCCTGGACAGTGGCAACCTGTTCCAAGAAAGAAGAACTATCACACAATTCATCTTCATAAACCAGTTAAAGATTTACACCTCATCCGTAAAAGAAGAAATCTAAAAGTCCCTTACCCTTTCTTCCTGAATAACAACGTTGTCTGCTCCAAATAATAGTTCTGCCGTAACTTTGTTAAATGCAGCCAAACCTTCGATCGGTAGATACTACAAAGTGCACACAGTGGATTTTATTTTTCGAGCATGCGCGTTGCCATAATCAACTACATAAAAATGTATTATTTCGTACTTTTGAGTTATATGTCAAGTACCTCTTTGTTTTCCCCACGTTCCAGCATGAGATTTTCTGCCTAGAAAAATTATGGAAAGCACAATAACAAAAATATTCTCTTAAGCACACATAGTCTACTACATGTAAAAGACATACAATGCATGAAAAAGAATCAAAGAACCACTTACTTTCTTAACAACATTGAGCACATAGGGTTGAAGTTCTTCAGTACGATAGGCACCGACACCAAGGTTAAGCTTCATTTCATTCGTATCCGCTTTAAATGCTTCAGAAACACCAAGAATGGGGTCGGGAGGAGCCATTGTTATTTCATTGAATCTGGAAACCTCGACTGCTAAACTCATGCGTGTGCTGGTAAAGGGCTGCCACCAAGATTACAAATAGTAAAACTCGGGGTCATACAGGTCATAGAAACCGACTTTTCAAACACGAGCCAACAATCTCTAGAGTAATTAATTAGTTTCAAGCTGGATCAGTATTCAGCACAACCGACACCACAAAAAATTCAGAAATTACAAGACTAAAAGAAGCACAACACACCTTTGCCTTGACACAATCTTTTCCCAGAAAATGATTGGAAGCCCCAAGCTTTCGATTTGCCTGTTAAACCACAGGAACAAAGGAACTGAACAAAAGTAAACATTTCTATGTTCTCACTGGACAGAACAAGCTCTGGTCAGATAAATCACATACTTTTTTTTTTCCCAACAAATTTTCCCATATTCTGGAATTCCTTAAAAAGCAAAAAAAAA